AATATGTCTAGGTATAGTTATCAGAAACACAATCATTTTTTTTTTCAAATCATTTTTGTTATGCCTACCATATTTGCTCTATTAGTAGTAAATGCATTTATAAAAATGACAGAGGTGTATCTATGATAAAAATAAAGTGACAATCGTATTTGAAGTGACATCATTAATTATTCATACAATGTGCATAACTTCTCCACCAATCGGAATACCCAATACATCACACTGTTTACGCTCTTTTTTTTTAAAAGTGGCTGCAATCATTGTGTTAACACAGGTGGCGCTATTCAGCACAGACCTGTGTCTTATGACGCATAACTAGCCTCTGAAGGCTAAATATCCATCTGCCACCATTTTTCTCAGCGTTTCTGCCGTGGAACTATATAAAAGTATTTTTCTTGTTTTGAACACATCCTCCCCCGATTTTTAGCAAGATTTAATCTTTAATGAGTTGATCAATTAAAATAACACACAAAACTCATCAGTATATCTTATTTTATTAACATTAAAATGCATGTAAATTGGGAGGTCAAAGGTCTAATTTTCCTCAATATTGCATTGACACGCAGATCGCTGCAAACCAACCGAATAGCGCCACCTGTGTTGACACAAAGTGGAAATAGTTCCGACCACTTTTCCCATAGTTCCACGCGCGGTATGTGTCAGATCGGTTGGTTTGCGGCGATCTGCATGTCAATGGGCTGCAATTGACTTCAAAATCAAAAACTTACCATCGTTTATTTCAGCACTAATTTCCTCAATAAATGTAGAAAATTTATCTGTATCATTATCAAGATCTTCATCTTCTATAGATTCTGTACTCAAGTTTTCATCCTTTTTTCTTGTTGCCATTTTGGTTTCCTTTTTTGCAAAAAAACTTAAATTATGTTCTGTTTTTTAATAATATATATTTAAATACTCTAATTCTTTATTTACAACAGACTGTAGGCCATTGGCTTTATGTGCCTTTGAAAATACCAATAAAGTTAACTGTACATAGTAATAATAGTAGCAATAAATATTGATGATAATATGTACAATAATGTGCTATGTGATAATTGCATTGCGTCTGTTAAATGAGATACTCAAATTTTGCCAAGTTTTGAATAGTGTTTGGATTGACGAGTTGTTGTACTGACAATTGTAATTATATTGTAAGGTTGGCATTCAACAAGGGATTGAAACTCTTTTCCTGATTTAGAGATATTACATTGAATTTTGGATGTCTAGGTATATTACATGAATTGAACCTTGATGCAGGTAAATAAGTTGTGGATTATACCAACTTGTTGAAAATATTAAGAAGAGGCTAAATGACCCCTTACAGGTAATTAGGTACTAATTACAAGCTCCATTGTCATCAGTTTGTATTGTATTTTGTCATTTCAGGTGACTTCATAGTTGTTTTTTGAAAGTATGCTGGTTGGTTTTGCATATTTAACTACTGGTGTTTCAGTTAAAAATTCACATTTCCCATATTTCTGTCTGTGTTAATTTAATTTATTGTGGAATTAGCTTGTCAATAATGCCATATTAATTAAAAAAAAAAAGAACAGGAAGTAGATTCTTGCATACTCGAAATATATTCTACTTGCAGCAGTCTCTTCAAACTAGATGCCACATCTTCAAACACAAGACTTATTATTGCATATTGTCTTAGATAGCATTAAGGAGAAGGGTTTAAGGTAGCAAGACTATTATTTGTGTTGAAAATTATGATTTTCACATTTATTTATTAATTGATGAAATGCACTATAAACTTTCAAATGTAAGTTGGTTAGATTGTAGATTTTCTGAAGGGAAGCAATGTTTATTCGCCATCATATTCTTTATGTTGATATTTGTATTCTGTGACTGTTTGCACCTTGGTTTCACGTTGCCGACTGCTTGATTGTTTCATGGCCTTAGAATTAACTGCTGCCCGTCTGCATTTTGGGATCTTGCACTCATTCGCCATCTTGTGTAATCCGTAATGTTAGGATGTGTTATCATTAGCTATCTGACATGCAATGAGTGTTTACAAACACTTGACTGGTCGGTCTCCGCCCCTGTTTGTTTCACAGATTAGTCATTTACATATCAATGTGTCAGACACAAGGTCATGCATCCATTTTAAAAATCATTGATTTTGGTGTTCTCATCTACCGAATTTAACAAATTATAGCTATCCCATTCGATTATTTTTTTGGTTTCCAATAGCTTCATTTGGATGCTCCTACACATAATGTTAAAACAGACCTTGATGTGAAAACAAAATGGTTGCCCCGATAAACAAGCTTGAAAGTCGTTGCTGTGACTTCATGGACGTTTTCTAGGAGTTTATGTTTTTCAAAATGCGAGGTCTTCAACAAAAAAATAACGTATACTTATTGATTCCAAGAATATACACTTTTTGTAGGCATTTAGTCACAATTAGAAGATGAAAACAAGTATGCTACCTTAAGTATGTACATGTAACGGGTGTTTTCTATGTGCTGTATATTTGGCCGTGAACAGACTACGATACTGATAAATCTACATCTTAAGAAAGAGACCAATTTAAATTAATTTAAAAAATAAAATCCAGCACTGATGTCTCTACAATGCTCATAAATTTGATTGTGAAATTCTAGGCTCCTACCTGCTGGTAATGTTTAGTGTGTTTCAATCCAATGTCCAGGCACTTAGGAATGCCGTTTAATTCTTGAGGTATTGTGAAGTGAAAATATTCTTGTGACCTTTGATATACAGTGCAATGTGCACACAAGGACCTATGGCAAGGCGTGAGGTCATTAAAGGCCTTGCCCTCAAAAGATCTCACACACCTCCCACAGACTGTATTTATTTGGCCTCAGAGCGGTTGCCCAGAATACGTATGCTATTTAAGGCAAAAATATACAAAGAAAAAACATGTTTACCAAAGATCCCTGAAATCGAATCGAGAATCTGTATTTAAAACTTGCACAGCATCTACATGAAATACTATATTGCCTATATCGTACACTAATTGTGTACATAATATACTGCTAACCATTTAATATAAATTGTATATAATTCCATTGCTTCAGTCAAAATAAACTATTTAGTAAAAAAGTAAAACATGTACATTGTGATAGTATTTTTGTTGGTGTGGATTGCATTCATTATAATGTTTTTTGAGTGTTATTTAGTGTTTTTGAACCAAACCACAAATCTTTTCCACAAATTATTCTGATCGCAACCTGACCTATTTTGTTGTGTATTAACTAAATTTTTATTGTCTTCATTCAGTTAATCCTGTTATTCCTTAAAAAAATAACCCAGAAACTTCTTGTCTGGATACATAAGTAAAATAGGAACATTCTATAAATTATGAAGACTTGTTTTGCAATATAATTTGGAATCAAATAACCCAAGTGGCTAATTTGATATGACACAATATAATGTTTACATAGAGTTCTTTGGTTACGATACCAGCTGACCTGTATTGTGAAATCTGGTGATATTGCATGCTGTCCCCTATTTCTGTGTCCCAACAATACAAAAATTTCACTATTTTGTGTGTATACTTGATTATCATTGAGTGTCTGGAAAATAGGCATGAGAATACTTTAAAAACAAATCTAAACATTGATTTTTAACCAAAACGCATAACTAAATGGCAAACATAGAAACCCAAATATATATCCTTACCATGTTTAAACAAAATCAACCCAAGAATGCTCTGAGTGGTTTAGGGCAAAAGTTGGCGTTATTTTGTTTTTATTCTGGTCCGCCGGAACCAACATTATTAACGATGATGCAATCAAAAACAATTATTTAAACAGAAGCTAGATACATGGCAAGGCCTAAATAGTTTCACTATGTTTATTTTAGTGTGGACCTTACCAAAAGCTAGGTGCATGGCAAGGCCGAAATAGTTTCACTATGTTAATTTTAGTGTGGACCTTATCAGAAGCTAGGTACATAGCAAGGCTGAAATAGTTTTACTATGTTCATTGTAGTGTGTATCGTACCAGAAGCTAGGTGCATGGCAAGGGCGAAATAGTTTCACTATGATCATTGTAGTGTGTATTGTACCAGAAGCTAGGTGCAAGGCCGAAATAGTTTCACTATGTTCATTGTAGTGTGGACCTTACCAGAAGCTAGATGCATGGCAAGGCCGAAATAGTTTCACTATGATCATTGTAGTGTGGACCATACCAGAAGCTAGATGCA